GCCGGAGTTAAACCACGACATCATGCTTAGCCTGTTGTCAGCATGGCTGCACAGTTTCTGGTAGGCTTGGATCCTGGGTAGAGTGAGCTCGTATCCCTCTGGGGCACTGGTGTTTGACTACAAGAGGACTAGAGAAACTTATTTTGGAGTATTTGTTGTACGTAAAGGATTAAAGTAGACACGCTTTCAGCAAGAAACTTCTTTGTTCATACCTCCTTGTCTCTTACAAACAGTATTCATTTGAAACTGTCCGCAGGACCCCCTGGCAGCAGTTCCTGAGCAGAGACTTAGTTTGAAAGCTCATGTAGTGAATAGTCACAGATGGATGATGCTTCCTGTTGTTGTTTCTGCGTGGCAGACGGTTAGAATTTGTCAGGCATCAGATCCTTAGTATTTTCTGAATCAACTTTATTTTTAATTCAGCAGCTTATCTGCATTTATTCCTGGCTAAAGCAAGAAGTGAAAATTGGTAGCTTCACTGGAAATAGTCTTGCTAATTTTGCTCATAGTGATAGTTCTTCTGAGTTGTTCTATCTTGGTAGTCTTTTGGTATAAAGCATGCTTGGAATATGCAAAAATTCTGAAATAGGAAAATTTACTTGGGATCTGGAGAACGCTGAGGTGAGATACATCTGAGGATACTCATGGGGAAGCTTCCATCATCTTTACTGACTCCTTTAAGGACCTGGTTGTGCGGGCGGAAGTGTTAGCTGGCGGTTAGGGGCAAGCTCGTTTGAGGAAGAAAAGTGCTGGGCAACCGCTTAACGTGCAGGCAACGCAGAGTCAGTCAGGTCTGAATGCCTGTGGACACTTTGTTTTGTAGTAGCTGTGGCCTAGGAAATAATAAATTCAGCACTAGTTAGTGCACCGTGAAGATAAACATTTGCATCTGAATCTTATTAAAACTTGAATCAGCTGGTGAGCTGCTGTTTTAGCAGCGTAATGAATTGAGTGCTTCAGAAGAGAAGATCTAAAGATACTTGATTTCTTCTAAAGGCTGTACTTCAGCTATGATAGAGTTCAAAAACCACGTTAAAATAGCATGGGAAATGATACATAAGTGTGTGGAGATATTTTAAAAAGTACCAGTGTGGTAACACTATAGAAATTTATAGAAATAGGTGTAGCTCAGAGGCAAAAAAAAATAGTTATCAAAGAAATAAAGATATCAGGTGCTGTGATCTAAGACTGTTTTTCTCTCTTTAGAAGCAGCTGGTTTCAGCAACACGTCTGTCATTCTGCTTCATCAGCTAGAGGATAAGACAAAAGCACATTCCTTTTTCATAGAGTTTCTTCATCAGGTAAGATTCTACTGTCCTTTGGGTATTGTCACACACAGTAGAGTATTGTTTTGTGTTACGGTAATTATTCTACGACACAGTTTAAAGTGCATGGGCTGCTTTGTTTTGTTTTTGGTTTTTTTTAATAAAAGGTTGGTGTATTTGAACGTCTGGGCAGTTTTCCAGCGCGAGGGATACCGATGGCAACTCGACTGTTGCTCTGTGAGCACGCAGAGAAACTAGCAGCAGCTATCATTCTCAAGAATCACCACTCCAGGCTGCCTGATCTAGTGAATGCTGCTATACTGATCGCATTAAACAAACGGGAGTGTGACATTCCACCAAGTCTTACCCCTGCGGATGTGTTCTTCCAAGAGGTGAGAAACCTGTTATTTCTGAGTCGTACAGGATCGCATGTGGTACACCCTGCAGTGCTTTGGTGTGTGCTTTGAAGCTTTTCCCTTTCAAAAATCAATCCAGCTTTACACAACTTCCCTTCGAATAGGGATGCTGTGGTACTGTTTTCCTGACTTTACTGTACGTAGTTTTCTATGTCTGCAGCTGAAACGTGCATTCTGACAACCTTCATGTAGCAGAGGTAAAGTTGTTACGATTTCCAACTAACTTACGTGGCTGAGTAATGAAAAAGACAGGTGAAACTCTCTGGCACATCAGAAAACACATGCTGAATTACCATTCTTAAGAGGTGAACTGAGGAGTATGAAGCTTTCCAGATAGGAGAGCTGCTTTGAGCTGTGCTGCATGGAATTGTATCAGTTGAGTCTCTCATAATTTTTTGTCCCCTCCAACATTAGTGAACCTATGCTAGTTGTCACTTTATGCCGCATTCCAGCCAAGCACCCATTCTTTATTTCTTTCTTCCTTCTTGAGAAGAACGATACACAAAATATTTTTTCTTAGAAATGTAAAAGAAAATAGACATAGCAGCCTGCTATTTTAAGGCAGGTATGTTATCCAGTATGCTTTCTCTCACAAAGGGTTCTACTACCAAATGTTTTGGAAGCGTATGGAGGAGTATGCTTAATGAAAGTTTATGGAGTTACCTTCAAAAAAGAGGACTTTTTTTTCCCCCTCTCCAGATTTAAGTCCAGAAATAAGGCAATTCTTGTATTCTAAATTTTGTATGAAGTACAAGCTGGTGATTTCATTATCCATTGTTGATACCATTGTTGAAACCATTGTTTCATTGTCCATAGTTGATACCATTTAATATTTTTGGCTATTGATGTGGCTTCTACTAATATTTGTTTATTTTTGTATACAACTCCTAACTTGGCTTTCAAGGTATCAGCTGGTAATGGGTATGTTTGTGCTTAGTGCGATTCTTCTTTCTATCCTTAAGGTGTCCCAGATAGATTCCATCTTTGAATGCTTACTAGAAGAAGAGGAACAGATCCTGAAAGATGTGCCTATTGAATCAATTGAGATAGTTGTCAATGTGAACAACATCATTAAGGTACAGAACTGCATTAACTAAAATGTTGAGTTAGGAGGGAAAGGTAAATGTTGAAGACCACTCAGCAAACTGAGCGCAGTGCATCCGAGTTACGGATGTGAGAACAAAAGTGAACGCACTTTTCACATGTCCAGATGTATTAAGAAGGAACATACAGGCTCAAGCAGAATTAGGGTCATCCCTTTCCTCCTGAGCCACTGCTAAAGAGACTTTGAGAAGTTGCAGTGCTGTTGGAAGTTGTGAAAGCATGAGTACGTAGCAAAGAGCGAAGAGCTTATGCTTGAGCGCTGAGGTTTCTTGCCCAGTCAGTTTGTGCGCTTCTGTACAGCTGAGGAAGTGGTGTTGACAGAAGGGGGAGTGTTAAGAATATTTCAGAATTATAAAAGGCATCATCTTTTAGTGTTTGGGTACATGCAGGTAGACTTTAAGTACTTATGTCCTTGCCTTTAAATAGGACGTGCTACAAGCGGCCTGTCAGTATCGTCAATCTAGAGCATCTTTATATAAAACAGGAGAGCTTCCAGAAAGAGAACCTGAATATATCCCATGGACAGGTAAGAAATTTTTTACTACTAGCTTATTAATTATCCATCCTAAACAAAAATACTTTGACTTTCAGAACACAAGAATTTCAATCTGAATGTTAATGATAGTTGTCAGTAAGAACAAGAGAAGCTAAAGGTGAATGAATCAATGAACACTTATTTTTTCCAGTATGGATGATAATTCTTTAAAATTTGCATTCCAGATTAGACTACAAAAACAAAGTTTGGGAGACACAGCTAATTATTTTTTTTTTTTAGCATGCACTCGTGCTGGTTGGGAGACCTATGGGATCCACAACATTAAAATGAATCATGAAATGTGATCTGTAACTGTTTTAAAAGGACTGATGATTCTCCACTTATGTGTTTTGTTTTGGTGGTTTAATAACATGAAAAACTATCAGAACAAACGTTGGCAGAGGCAAACACTTTCCGGTTGGTGCTTGAGCTCCCTGTGACAGGCCTGTTTAGCGCTTCAAAGATAAAATTGTTTTGAAAAGCAGGACTCCTGCCAAGTTATTTTGGTGCGTTTGTTATGTCTTGATGACTACATCCAAGGACGTAAGTCAGTTTAACAGAAGATGCCTTGTCCTTGTGTGTATTCTCTACTTTGCTTACAGATTGTGCAAGTGATTCTTTTCTTCTGAAAAATAGCTGGTATTGATAGTTGTCAGTGTAGGTCTTAATAGTTCAGGGACTAGTTTTGTTTCTGTTCTTTTTTTGTTTACTACATTTTGGCCATATGTAAAGATAGATGGGAGTATCTGTTTTGTTAGGGGTTTTTTTGATAGTACTGCTTTAATTTTTAAAATTAAAATTTCTATTAGCTTTTCCCCATCAATTTTTTTTAATTATACACAGGGATGGCTTGGTTATAATTCAGCATAGATTCCTGTGGTGCTAGGATTATTGTTTTAAATGTTCACTGTATTGTTTTCCCAAGCATCGAGCAGCCTTCGCACAGCAATAATACGTCAGCACGGAATCATTTTGAAGATGGTGTATCCCCAGGCGGACAGTAACCTCCGTAGCATTGTGGCTGAACAGTTGGTGGCACTCCTGGACTGTTTTCTAGATGGCTATGTTTCTCAGCTGAAATCTGTGGACCGCCCTGTTGATCAAGAGAGATACAGCCATGTGGAAATGGAGTATGTGCAGAAAAGATCGGAGCTCTTGTCTCCTCTCCGTAAGTACTGTCTATTTTCAAGGCCAGGCTGGATGAGGCTTTGAGCAACCTGCTCTAGTGGAAGGTGTCCCTGCCCATGGCAGGGGGGTTGGAACTAGATGGTCTTTAAGGTCCCTTCCAACCCTAACCCTTCTGTGATGCCTTAATCCAAGGATTAAATGTTCTGTTTGATGAGGAGATGATGCAAATCTGATGGAGTATATGGCATCTGTGTATGAATTCTATTTGTTCCAAGTGTTTGCCTTCAGAGTATAAATGACAGTTTTTATGATTTAATGGGATATTTACAATATAACAAGAGGTTAGAGCTGCATTCAGGACTGCACCCCTGCCCATATCTCTAATAAGCTGCGCTGCTGCTTGAATTTTTTTCTTTTGCTCACTTGTTATATTTTTCTGGCAGGAATTTATCTTGTGCCAGCTGGCTGAAAATAGCCTATAAATGGATTTCTAAATGTTTATATTGTTGATAGTTGACATAAATAAATATGCCTGAAAGTTTGGTTAGACTTTCTCTAGAAAAAGTGCCTTTCCAAGTCTTCAAACCTGCTGTTTAACATGTCAGTTTTGGTCAAGTCTTCAATGAGTAATTGAAAGCAAAGGCCCCTTGTTAGGTGGAAATAGCTCTAACCAAATACATTTTCATAAGTGTGTGAAGGTGGGGGTGTTTTTTAGGCAAAAAATGAACGCTATAAATAGAACAGTCTAGCAATCCCTGCCTTTTACCATTCTTAAACCTTGTGAAAATTGTCTTAAGCTATCATTGTCAGTTTAACTGACATTCATGGGCTATGCTAGTTTATAAATACATTTTTTTTATCATCATGTTCAATCTAAAATTAATACTTCCTTAGAAAATTGTGTGTTCTGCTAACTGTTATGTATTTGATTGAACCAATATGAAAGATTTTCAGTAATAAGATTTGTATTTAAAATACTTTATCTTTACTTGCCCTGTTATCAAAGCCTTTGCCTGCTGCTTTGTCACTTTGCATAATTAAGTGGACATTAGTACAGATATGAAGTCACGATTTTTTTTTTTAATTTTTCCCCTCCCCCAAAAGCACAAATAGCAGATGCTGCTAATTTTCAGAGAAAATAGTATTTGAAATTGCCAGTGTAAGTCCTAAACGTCTCTTCTTCCCTCTCGTACTGGGAGACACAGGCAGTAGGTCCATGGGCTTGTATGGGCCCAGGGTGCAGGTGCAGTAAGATGAATGTTTCCTTGGGAACGTAGAAGGATGACTTTAAACTTGTTTTCACTTTTCTGGTCTCCACTGTCAGTCATCCAGCAGCCAAAGACGAGTTTGTTTGACCTGACTTCTTTTTCTTCCCGGTTACCCAGTTTCCCTGGGACAGTACCAGATGGCAGCTGCTTTAGCGGAGAAGTACTGTGACTTCGATATCCTGGTGCAGATATGTGAGCAGACAGACAACCAGGCCAGGTTGCAACGTTACATGAGTCAGTTCGCAGATCAGGTAACCCTTCATTTTCTAATTCCTTTAAACAGACTTTTAGAATAGTTGTTGTGCCTGAAATCTTGCAAAAGTTACAAATGGGAGGGAGGAATGCGTGTCCCATTTTTTAACGTGTATGTATTTGCAGCTACATAGGGGGGTAGTGTTGAGAATTGGAACCTGAAATCTTGCAAAAGTTACAAATGGGAGGGAGGAATGCGTGTCCCATTTTTTAACGTGTATGTATTTGCAGCTACCCCCTTTAGTGTTGAAAATTGGAACCACGAATCACTGTGCAGAACTCAAAGGTGTGTTTTACCCTGAGGCTGCGTAACAAATCAGCAGCAAAAATGCAGGTGCTGGCTGTGTGGACAGTGGCTTTTCAAGGGATTTTTTTTGTGTCTCAAACACCTTGTCTCACTCTTAATGCCCTTTTGTGGCTGTAGTCAGTGTGCTGTTGTTATGTTGAAGTAACCCTTAATATGAACTTAAGGGTAACTTCCAAAAGAGAGGGTGTGATTGTTCAATGTATAGATAGAAAAGTAGTTAAGAAGAGTAGGAAGATGGGGATGTTGCTGTGGTCGTTATTATTATTATTATTATTTGTGGATGCCCCATCCCTGGATGTCTTCAAGTCCAAGCTGGACTAGGCTTTGAGCAACCTGGTCTAGTGGAAGGTGTCTCTGCCCATGGCAGGGGGGTTGGAACTAGATGATCTTTAAGGTCTGTTCCAACCCAAACCATTCTATGATTCTGTGATCATTACTCTCATCCTGACAGGTACTTAATGTACAATATTTCAGTGTCTGTCAAAAGTCTTGCATAAAAACCACTGTGCATGCTGGAAAAATGGAAAGCTTAAGGAAAAGACAATAGAGACTGCTTGAAGTGAGGGGGACTGGGACAAAAGTTTCCTAATTTGAGAGTTGGTGACACCAATTTGTTTAGCTTTCCACAACTATGGAAAGAGAAATCCTGAAGTCTACAGGTTTCCTGATAAAGAGAGTATGGAAGAGTTGTTTATTAAGAACAAGCAAAATTATTTGTAACAGACAAATTATAGTAAATGTTTTTAGTAGTGAGGGTTAAATACGCACACCTACTGCCAAAGAAGGGGGCAAATTCTCTCTGTTCTCTTCAGATGCTTTTTTCTTTAAAGAAAAAAGGTAACACTTTGTGAAAAGAAGTGGCTTTAGCACATGTAGAGCTGAATAGACCATGTCTAATGGATGGGTATCAGACTGGTGGCCTCTTCAAACTTTGTTTTAATTTGTTAATGTGATTAAAATTTAGCATTATTCTAAAATTACTCTGAAAAATCTAAGCTAATTCTCAAACATAAACCCTGACTAGTTATGTCACATTGAAGTTTTTGAGGATAAAACTGTGTTTTGTTTTCTTTTTTAAAAAAAAGACCATTTTTAACAGTGACTGAAAGAAATCAGGCTGTAGGTTCAGCTGGAGGTCAGAGGGAGTGTTTCAGTGACAGCCGAAGCAAACTTGATGAAAGGAAGTAGTAAGCGCAGAGTTCTGAGACAGGGGGAAGGAACGGGTGAAAAGTAAGACTAGAATTGTGGGTGATGCGATACCTGTTAACGTGGAGAATTTATATTTGGCTCTTCCTTCACTTCCACTGAAGGTTAAACCCTGTGGTGTGTATCAGTGTCTCTTGCCCTGTAGCTGATGAATTCTTAAAACACTATTTTTGAGCAACCTGGTCTAGTGGAAGGTGTCCCTGCCTATGGCAGGGGGGTTGGAACTAGATGGTCTTTAATGTCCCTTCCAACCCAAACCATTCTGTGATACTATTTCTGTCAAAACTCGGAAGTTTTTTCACCAACGGTGTGGGGTGTTGGTTTTGTGTGTGTTTCTTCGTTTGTTAAGCAGGCTCTTACCAATTGTATTTTATGAAACATTTTGCCTTAGAGGACAAATAATATTTAAATGTAACTTTTAAAATCTACTCATGTTCTTCTTCAGAATTTTTCAGATTTCCTGTTTCGCTGGTATTTAGAGAAAGGAAAGCGAGGGAAGCTGCTATCTCAGCCTATCGCTCAGCACGGACAGCTGGAGAATTTCTTGCAAGCTCATGAGCATCTGAGCTGGTTACATGACATCAATAGTCAGGATTTGCAAAAGGTAGAGTTTCTTAATACAACCGACCTGAAATATCATGTGTTAAATGAGTCAGGTACGTATTCAAGTGGGCAAACTGTCTAGTTCTGACTCTGCATCATTGAAAGAGGAAGCTTATCTCGGTGACTTAAGGGAGAGATGAGATGGGTTATTAATGGACCACCAGCACCAGGCACCACCTGATATATCGTATAAGCCACCGCACCGTGTAATAGAAATAGGGGCTGCTTTGTGGGCGACTAATGTTTTGTATCAAGGAAGTTTTATATGGCTACGTCATCACCACCTTTTTCAAAATGGGAGTTTACAGTGAATGTTCATACCGTTATCAGATTGTTCAGCACGGGGAAAACTTAAATTGATGTTTCAAAACTAACAGTTTAAAGCAAAGGAATTTCTTCCCTTCCTTCAGCTGTATTTATCAATGTATTTCACTTCAGCAAATAAACTAATTCTAAAGAAAAATGGCATCTTTCATTCTGCATGCGAAGCATGGAATCATTTATCCCACTGCACACTGAAGGTTCATAATACTTTCTGCCCCTAAAAAAAAAAAAACCCAACCAAAAAAACCCCCAAGAACAAACCAACAAACAACTCCAAACAACAACAAAAAGTCCACCCTGAGTGTCTTGTAATGTTCCATTTGTGTCGACTGAGGTTTTGTCTTTTATAGCAAAGCACTGTGAAGGGGGGACAAGGATTCTGATGTATACAAGTAATTCTGTCTGGACAGTTTATTTCTGAGTAGGTGCCCAGACATTTTCTATTCCGTTGTCTGACAGCCAAATAAATTCTTGCCTGAATGCTTGGTTACTGCAGCAGTTATACCTATAATTCTGCTTTTCAAATTCCTGAATTAACAAGTAAATCAATCTGTATGCAAAGTTGTCCTGTCAGAGCGTTTTTTGGCAAAGCCTTGATTAAGATCCCAGAGTTACAGTACATGAAGTTGCAGTTTGTCCTTTGCTCATAAGAGAGTTTTTCTTGATTAGTAATGAAAAATTTTTTGATATAATTAGAGATCTGTATCTCTTTCTGAAGAGTGTAATGCAGGCTTTTAATGTGCGGGTTGTACAACTTGTAAAACTAAGGGTTCTAGTATTACAGACAATAAATAGCCTTGAGACTGCAGTTCAGATTAAATACTTATCTGCTAACCTTCGGATGTTAAATTCTAAAACTGATTTTGAACCTCTCTATTAATTTCAGGCTCACAGAACATTGCAGACTTTAGCAAATAGGGAGACCCGATATTTTGCGAAGAAGAAAACACTTCTTGGCCTGAGCAAATTAGCTGCACTGGCATCTGACTTCTCAGAAGATACACTGCAGGAGAAAATAGAAGGTAAGAAAGAAAAGCAGAGCAAAGCATAGACTAATGAAGTTATTGAGTCAGAATCACGTTAAGTTTGCAGATAGTTAATTTATTGGGCTGAGGGCCCTAACAATGTGGTAAGGATAAACGGGGTGATGATTTTGCTCGTTGCAGGAAGACAGCGTAAGGCAGTAAGTAACCTTGGTACTCACCTTTTCCTGTGAGTTAAGACTATGAGCAAGGGAAATTTGTGTCTTTGGACTTATATTTCTAATAACAAAAAATATTGGCATCAGTAACAAGCTGCACAGTCTTTGAGAAGTCAAGTAGATGAAGCTGCATTTTATATTTCAGATGCAAGGTAGAAATGAATTAATTTCTTAAAGCCTGTTTATTGAATGGCTCTCAAGTTTTGCACTGTTTTCAAGTCCTGAGACTTGTAGGCTGTACAAGGGAGTCCTGTAACTATGTTTTATGATAATAATGTATGTTTATGCATACATATGCATTTGTGGTCAAGAAGTGCTTTCTCAGCATCTTTGTCTGTATTCTCGAAAGGTTACAGTCACGGGGTTTCATTATGCTCTAGCTGAAAGGGGATGTTAATAGGAAAAGCAGGAATACCTGTTCTGCTTCATTACCTAATGCAACAGTTCCACTCTTCTGCCATTCCTGTCACTTTGGAAAACATCCCTTTTCCCAGTACAGTTTGTGCAGCACGTGTTTGCTGTGAGTTTGTGAAAAAAGCAGTTCTGCACTAATAGTGAAGCTGATGCTGGCCCCCAGGGAAAGCTTTGAAATACTATTCAAGGTTATTACTGAAGCTTACTTCTACTTATCTGTGCATCTTTCATTGTATGTTTTGTACAATTCTTAAAAGAAATCCTGTTTAAAAAGGCTGGGGGTAGTTATGAAAAGTAAGTAGGCTTTTCGCGTAGTTTTAGTTTGTGATAATAATATATTGGCTGTCCTTTAAATTGTAAAGCATTGCATGGAGTCCTGAAGTTGGAAGGTGTTCTTCTCACCACTGTGAGAAAACTGCGGCTAATATGAGGAATCTTCATATTTAAATAGAAAACACGTAGGAAAATGAGGATGCCGGAGCTTTATTTCAGTAGGGTAATGGACTCTCAAAACTTGGTCTGGACTTTACCCTGCTACATGTTTCTGTATGACACGTGAGACAGCTTTTAAAACTTGTGCTCTTTGCATATCCGGGAACGTAGCAAAGTGTCCAGATCGAATGCTTCATAACAAAAACTTGTAGACATGAATAATATTGCCACTCAACAGTAATTACTGTTCCATATGATTTATTATAACATTTTAATAACGTGAGCCATTAATCTCCTTAAATGCCTACAAGAAATATCGGAACAGGAACGCTTTCTATTACATCAGGAGACGCTTCCTGAGCAATTACTGGCAGAGAAACAGTTAAACCTCAACGATATGCCAGTGCTGTCTGCATCTCAGCTCATTGATGTAAGTATCTCGCGTTTTCTTCATACATGGGTAAGGTTCCGGGGTGTTTTCTGCCTCTGTGTGATAAAATACATGAGAAGATCACAGCTGTCTTCATCCCTTACATGACCTGCTAAGCATCTAACATATCAATTTGATTATCTTTTGCTTAATTTCGTCCAGCAGCGAACTTCAGAAGGCTGGGTTTAGCTCAGATTTCTTGTTGTTGAACCCGTGCTTTAGCGTACTGCCAGGAGGAAAAGCAAATTGAATCAGTGCCGGAAGTTGATTTACTGGTCTAAGGCAGTTTTTGGATATGAGACCGTTTTACCTTCTGTCACATTCTCAGTAGGGCAGAACTTGGAAGGCAGAAAAAACGAAGAATTCCACCTCAGTAGAGAAGGATGCTGCAGTGTGGAAGAAAAAAAGGGCTAGAAGCAGGAAGAGGCTTTTGGGCACCTGTTGCAAAGAGGCACCTGAAGTCTTTCTACTTTTCTTTAATCCTTTTTCAAAAGCAAGCAAAGAAAGAATCCCAACCCATGCAGAAACAAAACCATAATCTGCTCCAGTCACTGGGATCGCTAACAGCGCTGACTCCCTTTCCGCACCCCTTTCCGCTGGTAGCCAGCAACCAGCAGCCTTACTGTTTCTGCCTTGTTGGGAGCCTGTTTTTACCATCTGGTGATGCGCACAAAAGATTCCACAAGGATCCGTTGTAAAACAAATTAGGTCCTGCCTTGGTGTCACTTTTGCAACTCCTTCCTTTTCTTATAATCCTCTGGAAAATCAGAAGCGGGGAGAGAGCTTGTTTACGTTCTCCTTGTTTTCTCGGAGCAGTGCTGCTCGTGCCTTGGCAAGTGCTGCCCCCGCGACAGTTTTCCTTCTGAGTTCACTTGGTTGTCGAACAGTGTTCCCGCTTGCTACTCACAATGCGAGAATGAAACTCCGAGAGGGTAAATGAAAAGGTTGATGTTAATTTTCCTTTAAAAGTACTAATATGAGTTTTGTTGTAGGGGGAGGAGTGAAATACTGATAGCAAACTTGTCTGTTTTTCAAAGGTGAAAGGCAGTACATTTGCTTCAGTACCGCTTTGAGCTTAATTACCAAAATAATTCTGAGAGCTTTATTTGTGGAGCTGAGCTCTGGCAACAATAGTCCAGGAATGTTACAGCCTTAAATGGCATTTAAATTTGAAACCTGCCAGCCTTACATCCAATATCATTTGTCCATGGACAATTGTCATGTAGGTGGAATGCTGCTCTAAAACCTTAAGTATATTCCTTACTATAAAAATACTTGCGGTTGAATCAAGACATATTTTCATGAGAAGGTCATGTAAGTGGAAAATACATGGTGGTCTTCCCACAGTGAGTTGTCTGTGATATCAGTTACATTGGTTTGTAGGCTAAAAATAATGCTCTACATTCATCTCCTATCGTAGATGTACATAAGTGATGAGAACAGGAGGGCCAACGAGAATGACTTCAAGAAAGCACTTGATCTGCTGGAATATATTGATGAGGTAGGAAAAGTGTTTGAAGGATTTCTAATCTAGACACTTAAAAAAAAAATGTATTTAATAATTTATTAATACTTAATGAGCAAAAAAACCCCAGGCAGTGCATCTGTAGTTAATTCACATATTCGCTTAGTGTATGGTAATTTAAAATAACCCCGATATGTTTCTTCAGTTTGTTTTTAAGTCACTGGAGACTTAATGCCAAATGTGGTTTAGCTCATTTAAGAAAAATGACACTCCTCATCTTCACTTCCCATTTATAGTCTACAGTTTCTTTTTTAGAGCCTTGCTTCCCCACAGGCTTTCTCCAAACAGGACAAAGAACATCTTGTTTTCAGTAGTTTAGTTCTTGCCTCTTCCCTATTGGCAGTTTCTTTTGATGGTGGTGAGATAAGGCGGGGTAGTGGCAGCTCTTTAACAAGTAACTAGCACCCAAGCACAGGTTTGCTGCTGCTTTCTCAGGAATCTTTGTACGATCTAGTGTCTTGTCGGGTGATTTTCCACCAACGATGAATAAATAGACCTCAGGGGAGCGTTAAACCCAGAGTTAACAAGTCTTTGCCAAAAAGCTGAAGTTGTATAATATCAGGGAAAGTATTCCTTACTGACTGAAAAATGCAAACTCTTTTCTGATCATCCCAATTCCTGCTAGTCTGGGCAGGGCTCCGAGTTAAAATCCTCTCCATAGTAGTGCTTTGTAAACGCCATTGTGCCATTTTGTTGGCCCTCAGTAACTTTGATTTGATAATTGTACATCCCTTTAACTTGTTTTTAAAATCTAAATTCGGTTAAAATTGGTTTTAATAGCTTTTAATTTATCAAATTTTCTTTTAAGTCACATTTCTTTACTGGGGGGTGGGTGTGTTTCCTCAAGCATTAGTATGTTTTGGTCCTGTGTTTAGTATTGTATTATGCGTACTGAGGAAGGAGTATTACTGCTTAGAATAGCATGTTACTCTGAGTGTGCTTCCCGGCGAGGGTGGTAAGGCACAGGAACAAGTTGCCCAGAGAAGCTGTGGATGCCCCATCCCTGGAAGTGTTCAGGCCAGGCTGGATGAGGCTTTGAGCAACCTGGTCTAGAGGAAGGTGTCCCTGTCCATGGCAGGGGGGTTGGAACTAGATGGTCTTCAAGGTCCCTTCCAACCCAAACCATTCTGTGATTCTATGGAGGAAAAAAAAAAAGGCACTGAATTTTCTAACTTCCCACTTAATTTTTACAAAATAAATAGTCCAACTGATAGTAATGTTTTGCAGTAAAATAAACCTGAGTGAACTCCTTTGGTTCTTTCTTTCAAATTATTTTTCCTCTTAAATTTTGTCAACACAGTTAATGAACACTGAGCCACCTATATTGGTGTTTTTACATCTAAATAAAATAAATGTCCCTCTGAAAACATGAGGCTCAAAGTGAATTTTTTGATCAGATATTTGAGTCCAACAGCTTGAGCACAAAGTAGAGGTGGTGGCTTAGACTAGAGACTAAAAACTAGCTGTTGCCTAGTTTTTCCCGCTTTTCTCTTGCAAAAGCATAGCGTGAAGTCGAGACCCATTCTCTGGCCTCTAAATTGAAGAGTTTGTGGTTTCTCTTGTCTCTTTTGAGGGCAATATTAAAGCAGATGTGATGCTTTGGGACATTGAGAGGTGGAACAAAAAAAAAAAGTCTTTTTTCTGATGTTATTTTTAAAGGGCCTCTGACACCAATTATCTCAAAGTTTCTGTGCAACGAAAGGGCCGCTCTTTCCAAGAGAAATTTGTGACTTTGAAGACATTTACTAATATATTCATAAAACATACATTCTGATGTGGACACTAATGCATGCTAGTTAGCTTGGCCTTGCCAAAAAAAGCCTTGACTTCCGTCACCCCTTAGCACATTTTATTTTAAAACGTGCCTCAAACACACTGCTCTACAGATTGGTGTTTGTTCACGTGCTTTAAAACAGGCCCTTTTTCAACCTGAGGTACTGAGCTTTCAGCAGTCCCGTGGTGATACAGAAAGTCCAAGCCATGTTTTCAAATGGCAACGAGCAGACGTTGGTGTTTCACCAGTCTGATCCGGTCATCTGCTAAAATAGCGTGTGTTCAGTAACTGAGAAACTTAATTTGTTGGTATAATCGGTGTGACAGAGTAATTCTTTCTTAAAAAAAATAACTTCCCTGTCTTTTCTTCTTGTATGATTTGAAGGAAGAGGAAGTAGATGTAAATGACTTTAAACTTAAAATCCTCTGCAAGGCTCTCCAAAGAGATGGGTAAGTCCAATATGAATAAAAGTTACTGGCAGTATTTGTGACGTAGCTTTTCCAGCATTAAGTATTGGTATACTGTCCTCTAGCTCACTGAAAAGATTGAATTTCCCAGTTGTACAGTTGGTAATGTATAAAGTCTCTGTTCTGAATGTGCCTTTTCACTGGTCAAGTGAAACCCCACCAAAAAAACCCATCAGTAGTGCTTTGTTCGCTTAGCTCACTGGCAGCCTGCTGTGCGTTCTCGGCACCTGAGTCAGAAATGCACCCCTGCAGCTTGCGTTCTTGAACCCTCTGCTGGGCTAAAAGACGTGACCGATGCTGAAACCTTTGTGTTTTTCCTTTGAAGCATCTCAAATAGAAGCTTTTTTAAGAGCATGGTGTGCAGAGGTCACGCCTCCAAACTTTCACTTCGCTCGTTTTTGACCATTGAACCATGTCAACAAACTCATGACCTTTTTTGAGTTAAAGCTGCATTCTTGACTGTAAGAGATGGAAGCCTTAAAAACTGCTTAAAAGAGCCGCTCTTATGGACTTTCAGAACCAAATACAGGCTGTTCAGAAGCATCTTCTCATCGAGCAGTACTGCTGTTCTCTCCCAGGTTAAATAACTCAAATGGCATTGCTTCCCTTAACTTTGGAAAATCAGAAAGGAATCCAGCTTTTCTAGCTCCTACCCACGTTCCAAGACGACCCAAGGAGAAGAAAGATGAGGAGAGAATACATTCCAAATGCACTGTGCCAATTGGGATTAAAATGGAAATAAGCAGCATTCGGATTTGCCTTGATGCATAGGTCTCTAGAAAATATATTCTGAGTTAGTGTCACAAATGACAAAAATAACATGCAGAAACGGCCTCAAAATACTCCCAAGTGTTTTCTTCCTGTAGTTTCAAGGCAGAAGAATCTGGAACTTCTACGTGGCACCAGGCCAATAACTGGTTTATGTCCTGTCTACCCTGGGCTGAGAACAGAGTTTTGGATATAATATCAACCTGGTCTAGTGGAAGGTGTCCCTGCCCATGGCAGGAGGGTTGGAACTAGATGGTCTTTAAGGTCCCTTCTAGCCCAAAGTGTTTTGTGATTTAAACCATTCCATTTGCATGTAACGCGGACAAGATTTTGCCCACTCCACTAGCTCACCAGGTGCAATTTGAGATTGCTTTGCACTGAACAGGGTTTAGGAAACTTGATGTCCCAGCTGAGTTTCCAGTCCAGCGAGGCTCACAAAGGCTTACTGGGAAGTTGATTGCTGCTTCAAAAGAGGGAGTGTTAACTTTGCTCTGAGCACAGAAGTAAGCACTTGGCGTGTTGCAGTGCCTGCCTCCAGGGATTTGTTTTCCAGCTTAACCACTACAAATGGTGGTAAGGCTCTGGAGTGGAAGGGAGCCTTGTGGAGTGTGCTCTTACGTTGTGGTATGATCCTCGCTATCCTCCTCTGTCCCTAAGAGGGATTTGGTTCTTCAAATCCCCTTTGCCTTCCCTCACATTCTTCCCAGTAGAATTAAAGATGAAATCCTGTAGGTTTGGGAGTTTTAAGTGAAATCCAGGGTAAAACCATGGTTTTGGTGAAGTACAGAGGATTCGCCAGTAATACCTTTGGGCAGCAGGGTCCAGATCTGCTGGAAGCATGTCCCGTTGGCCCAGGGGGGGGTCATGTGGGATTTAGGGGGTGGTACGGGAACTTTTTGTCTGGCAGTTCAACACATGGAACAGGAAATTTTAACAACCGAAACGTTAGAACCGCAGCAAAAGAAGCAGGGTTGGTGTCGATTTAAAACTGCTACACAAAGCTCTGCAGAGATGAAAAATTGTCATTTAAAATAATCTTTCTCTTAGAAAATATCTGTTTGGGATTTCCTTAGGCAGAAGAGACTGGCATTCGGGAGCCTACACCATCGCATTTAACCACAGATGGGATGCTGTATTTGCTGTGTGTCTGTGGGTGCTGTTACAGACCTGCAACTTAGACTTCACCCTTTTTTTTTCCCCTCCTCCTTAATTTTCTCAGTGCTTGCTTTTTTCTTTTTGCTATTTTTTTTTTCCCCAAATACGTTGGCAAAGTGCTGCTCTTGCTTTATTCTATCAAAAAATAAAACTATACTTGCATCATCTCAATCATAAAATATAATTACTGAGAACAGCTAATTCTTGATGGACGGTATTTTTTATTTTATCAAATAAATAATGTTTTCTTTTACAGTTTAGAAGACACAAAGCATTTCTGTTGTCCTCCTGACAAGGCTAGGTTATAGTAGTGGAATTTTATTGCAGTTTTACTCTTGGAATAAAAAATAATTAACACAAGATAGAAAAAACCCTCTTTGTGTTGAGCTATAGCCAAGCCCACAACACTTACGTGTCAGCATGTGTTAATCACCTTTTGGTTTATCAAATTTTTTGCATGCTATTTCTTGTTAGTTTTCATCTGATTTCATCGTGTAATTCTTTCCCCAAATTGTTCTTCGACTTGCAGGTGGTCCAGTTTGGATGGTAAAGATGATCCAATTGAAGCATCTAAAGATAGCATATTTGTGAAAATATTACAAAAACTCTTGAAAGAAGGTAAAGTGTACTTAAATATACTTGAACTTCTTGAAATCGTTTAGTTGTTTCAGAGCTCTTACGATGAACACCAATATTTAAGAAGTGGTGTTAATATCAAGAGGAATAAGAACGTACATACTGTAATTACCTCGTGTAGTGCATCACATGGAGCTAATTCTATCTCTGTCTTGTCGAGGGGACAAGAGAGGAGCAGATTTCTTGGCTAGAATCTTAGAACCCTCAGATTATTTGCTCTGGAGGGCAGCCATCGGATTTTTAGCAGTTTTTGGACAGCAAAGTCTGTCTTCTGGAGTTAAATACCTTATCTTCTGTAACGTACGTTATTTATAACTATTTGTCTGTCACCCAGAAGAGCTTAATCTATTTTAGCTTAAATTGGTTTGGTTTTGTTGGGCGTTGGTTGGTTGGTTGGTTGTGGGGTTTGGTTTGGTTTCCCTCCCCAAAAGGGGGGAGAAAAAAAATCCCCCCCCCCCAGTTAACACTGACCATGGGAAGTTACAGCCATGGAAATTACAGCCTGGGGGGAGGGAGAGTAGGGATGCAACTCAGTGTCAAAGTCCATTTTAAATATTACTGCATATGAACTTTCCCAGAGCAGAGAAGGCTCCATGTCAAAAATACAACAATTAAGTTCTTCAGAACAGCTCTAGTTTTGTGTGTGCAATCCTGTCGCTTCCTCTTGTAAGATTCTCACGCCCCAGACTGAAATGCTGCAGGTGATGATGCGGCTTATATGACTGATCTGTCTTCTACTTTTTTTATTTCTTTTTTCCCTCCTTCGTTTGTAAAGACCTGGCTTTTAGGTTTAAGGATTTTAAGTTTTATCATAAATTCACCGAGAAGCTGTTTCGGCTGGGATCTTTTTCTTAAACTCTGTTTTACCAACTACTCAAGCTTTATTGTATTTCTTCACGTGTATAATAGGATTAGATCCTCTCAGTTCCAAGAGAGTAATTTAACTGTGAGGCAGGCACAGGTGTTTACTCCAAAATCATCCTAACCACTAATGCAGAGTACTGTTGTCGGTGCTGCAATAACAGGTTTTGTGTTGTAGGGGTTCAGCTGAGGGAGTATTTACCGGACGTGAAGGACCTGCTGCAAGCGAACGAGCTGGGCACCCTGAAATGCAGCACCTACTTCGAATTTGTGTTAAAGGCAAACTACGAACTCTACGTTCAGGGACAAGAGTAATGCTGGCTGGGTTTTTTACATACGTTTTCTAAAGAACTGTTACATTTCATGTACTTTTTTGTTTCTCTTTTTGGGGGGTGGGGACTAAAACTTTGTAATAAAAACTAAGCGTAATACGCTTGGTCCTAAATTTATAGACATTGGCCCTTTAGTCTGGGGAGAGTGCTGTGTTTTCGGGGGGGGGGAAATGTTTTCGTTTTCTGTGCCTTTCATAAACTTACTCTTTTGTTTTACGTCTTCATTGCTTTGAGTCCTGCCTGAGACGTGGAGATACCCAGCCACACCGGGTGGAATGTGGGACCTACAGCAGAAGGTGGGAGCTTTTGCTCCCGCTTCTCTGGGGCTGTGATTTTGGGGCAGAGAGCGTACCAAAATGTCGGTACTGGGTGACGGTGTAGCTTACTGAAGAAACACATAATTTTTTCGATGAGAGAACTCTCTTTGCACAACCCTTTTTGCTGTAGAAACTAGGCAATTTCAATCTTGCGTTAGAGATTGCTGGCATGGAAAGGCTAACCGGTCACTCGGCTTGTTGGCAACATAAAGGGGTAAAGCACAGTTCTCGCTCAGAGTCCTCTGGTCCAGTAGATACACCGTTCTTTCAGCTTCTATCTGTAAGATTAAACTTTTTAAAAACATTTTCATATTTGATCTACTTCTCATTTACGCTAAATCCAGATTTCTAGAATAGATGTATAAAGGAGATGAGCAGCTCACCGTGCAGCCATTCACAGCAACTGCTTGAACCTGGGCTCAGCAGAAACCTAGAAAGCAGTCGGGGAAGTGTGGGAGTCTGGCACGATCTTCCTTACTCGGTGCCTTGTTCTTCACTGCTCGATGCCACTCACTGTCTTTTTTTTCTTTTCCCTTGCTGCCCCAGTTAGTTATCTCTGACACGGGAGTAATTTTTTTAAAAAATCCATTTAACTTCTCAATTTTAATTAATCTGTTTGGCAGCGGATTTTAATCTTTAAATAAACGTTACTTTAAGCTGACACGTCGTACCTTTCTCTTGCAGGTAGCTCAACAGCCAGCGAGTGACTGCAGAGCAACTTGCATGCCCGTATGTTTTACTTGTCTGGCTCGACGCCTGCTGCAACAACTTGATCCAACAGCTGAGAAGGTCAGAAGTTAAATTGGTTGAAGAGAATCCAGTTTCTAGTTTTAAAAGCACAGCTCCCCTTCTGTGGCTTCCCCTCCTCCCTGTACTAATACAGTAAGCTGGGCTCAGAGTCTGAACATGTTTGGAAGAATAGATTTATCTAGAGAGGTTCTAACTAATATGGGAAAGAAATGCACTAGCAGTCATCTTCTAAGATTGCTCGAAGAAGCAAACTTTGCTCTTCTGCAGCCTCGTGCGGCTGGGAGAAAGAAGTGTGGGTGTAACTCCCAGCTGCGGCTTCAAAGGAGTGGGTCATTCAGAGCCTCAGAAAGCATTCCGCTTGCTTGGTTAAATGTCAGTTTAAAGGTTGTTTGGCGCTATTGATGAACTTCATGTTCTGGGGAGAAAGGGAATAATCTGGAAAATGATTACTGCCCCCTGCTGAAATACGTTCTGCCTGAACTTTTACTAAACTCTCTCCGTTTTGCTTGAAGAGGAATTTCTCTGGGGCTTCGTCCCTTCCCAGGCTGTGGACGGCCTGTATTCTGTCAGGAGTAGCGGGGCAAGCCCCAGGCAGCCCGCTCCAGCAGCAGGCGTTCCTGTGCATCCTTAGCCATCCAGCCCTTTCCAAGTGCCTGGCTTCTCTGCTGGGATGGTTCGTTGCGGCTGGTGTAAAAGCATCCTCCAGGTTCTCAGGAGAATGACGATCGGCCATGAAGGCTTCACAACCCACGCTTTACTCCACGGCCGGGTTGCGAAGCACTTGGCATTGGTACAGTGGCTTTCTGTCTGACTGTTGCCAGAACAGAAGGCTACGGGCAAGGAGTTTACTTAAATAAAGCCTCATTAAAATAACTTCCGTCTCTAAACTGAAGTTTAATGTTCTGGTACGAGGAATGTTGAGCTGGTTCACGATTGTGTTGGGAAGCTTGAAGAGGCTGGGATTCGGGGCTATTCCTCCTCTCCGCCCTCCCTTTGGTTATGTAATAAGCAGTTTTGGTGCAGGACTCCTGTCTCAGATTACTGTACGGGGAGGATGCCTTCATTTACCACCGCGTATCGAAGGTCACGCCAGAGCTTTAGACTGTACCCAAGCGTAACAGGAACAGAAATAAACTTGGGACCAAAAAAAAATCGGGTTTTGTTTAAAAGATGCTGAATAAGGAAGCGTGCATCGTTTCTTCAGTAGCTGTCTCCTCAGTAATGAAACACACACAGTACAGGATGTCCACGCTTCCGTCCTCTGGTGTCACCGGAGTGGCAGGGAAGCTTGTCAGTTGTCGTTTGTGAGCAGTTTCAGGAGCTGTCTGTTGTGGATAGTGATCTTCTTTATGCCCAGCTCTGCTCTGGAAACAAACCTTAAATGTTTCCTGACCCGGGACCAAAATCAGATTCATGAGTCCAGTTAAATATCAAAGTGCTGAAAATGACCTTTCATGCAGAACTGTTAAGAATTTCTAGTTTTGCATTTTGCTGTAACCTGGAACGGGGTAGAGAGAAAACGCAACAGAAGGGGTAGAGTGGGTTTATGCTTGCGTCGAGTTTCACTGAGGGATTAAGAATGTTTATCTTTCAGTGAGGTTAGACCTTCGGTTACTTGATTTCTGCTTCAACGCAACTCGCGTTTTGGAATCCCCGGTGGAGCGTTACGGTTCTGTAAATAAACTTGATGGCTGCGATGCCTTTAAGTGTTTTCAGGCTTCCGATTTTTTTGTCCTGCCAGTTGTTGATGACAGAACTGAAGAATAAGGCGAGCAGTTGAAGAACAGTATGTTTTATCCCCAGTGTACTTTAATACAGTAACTTGACGGGAATCTATAGCAGAATGAAACAGGGAGCAGCCAGAGGAACGCTGCCAAACTGGAGGGTGCAGGAAATCAAGTAGAGGAGAGGAGAGTTGTCTGCCTCTCTGTCGGCCCTTTTGTTCTGCCTTGCAGTGGAGGAAGTTGGCGGCAGAAACGTCTCCAGTTGTAGGAGACTCCTCACAGGGTGAGCGCTTCTGACTTAATATTCCTTCTTCCTCCTCTCCTGACTCCCTAAATTTTAAAAGGATTTATCCTTGGCCAGTTGTGCCTTCAGAGAAGGTCCTGAGGATTGATTTGCATCGACTCATTGGCAGGGCTGCAAACCTGCTGGCGTTACTGCCTCTTCTTTCCATCAGTAAATGGAATTTCTATATAAAATCTTCCAAGCGTCCCACATGGAATCTTTGCTTAAATATGCATAGCTGAAGGGGATGAACTGTGCCTCGTCACTTGCACAGCACCTTCAGCTCGTCAGAGATGACTTGCCTGTGAGACTCCTGTGAGTACTTGCCTTTTGGAAAGGGTGAGCTGCAGCGATAGCTGGAAGATGCCGTGTTGCCCGGCCAAGCTCAGCAGCCAGCAATGGGTACTCAGTAACAGCACCAGCATCCACGCTACGTCAGGCTTCTGGGATCAGGCGGTCACCGGGATTAATGCTTCACCGGGTTTCTCTTCAGGCGTTTCGTCTAACAGATGTTATCCCCTGCATTTGTTTTCCACTTTTAAATCACAGCAAAGAAAAAACGCACGGCTTAACTTGGTGTGTAAAGCTGTGGGGGGCTGGTACACGTGTCCATGGTGTTACAGAATCACAGAACGGTTTGGGTTGGAAGGGACCTTAAAGACCATCCAGTTCCAACCCCCCTGCCATGGGCAGGGA